TTTTTTTCCATGTGTACAGGGGTAACACATCGTACTAAATATGTAAGGTAATATCTGCGTGGGTTTGATTACAGAAACTAATAAAGTATTCTCTAAATAATGAAAAAAAGAATAAGATAAGACTATAGGAGCAAGAAACAATTTAAATATGTTCGGGGACCATTTTCATCTCCAGAATTAAGGATTATTTTAATGTTACATCATTGCCTTTTCTCTTTTGCGTTCCTTTTTAGTTTTATTTTAGGATTCCCTATTTTTAATGTTCATACAGAGATTTCTTTAACTGAAATACCGAATAGTTTCTTTGGTGCGAAAAACTATAATAGTACACAGGATCCTAATGAGATAATTAATAATGTGAAATAGGAAGTAAAGGGCTAAAGGTGTAGGGAAAGTGGGAAGGGTGGGGGAAAGGTAATAAGGGAGAGGAAAAAAATATGAGAAACTGAAAAAATGGAAATAAAGTGTTTGTAAATGGGGAGGGGAGGAGGGGGTGAAGGGAGGGCAGGGACAAGGGGAAAAAATGAGAATCAAGACCTATTATGTAAAGGTACAGAATCCCAATGATGAATGTAACTGTATTGTATAGATTGTACCAATAAACTCAAAAAAAAAATTCGTTCGCATTCTGATCTCTAATCCAGCTGTAAACATTGAGGGGCAAGTCTGGTGGTTAGTTTTACCACAGGGTAGGTTATCCAGTTGGTGAATGATCTGGATGGGGATGGAGCTCAGCAGTGCAGACCTCCCTGGCAAGTGCAAGGCCTTAAGTTAGATTCCCATCCCCAGTACCAGGGGGTAAAAAAGAAAAAGCTAGTGAATGAATGAGCACACAATACCTCTCTTGGAGCTGGGGCTGTAGGGTGCTAGTTCCAGTGAAAGTATCCAAGAAGGTCACAGCACTGAAGTACTTCACCTTTCTTTTTTTCCCCTATATTAATGGAAAAGGCTGTTTATAGAGTGTTTTTTCCTAATTTCCCTACTGATTTTAAGATAGCACTTACAATGTGCTAAGTACTGTTGTAAGAGTTTTAAAAGTATTAACTCGTAAAATACAGTTATCATAGGAAAATCGAGGGAAGAGAGGGGGTAGGACTCTTGTCCAAAGTCACGCAATTAATAACTGGGGAGCTGGGATTAGGGCCTCAGCAGTCCAAGACTTCAGTCCACTTATCCATTTGAATATACACTATAAGGTTAACATTTGGG